TTTGATTCTGTAAATAAATGACCGCATTCATTTTGATGGGTCAAATATAAATGACGTCTCACGTTTGCATTTCCTTAAATTCAATGCACGTTTTATTCAGTCCAGAAAAATGAGGAATCCGTGTTAATTGATGAATATATCTGAGCATCTGTTCATCTACATACAGCAGTGGTTGGATGCATCACAAACAATGATGAGTCCGGCTACAGGCAGGAGGTGGAACACCTGGAGAGCTAGTGCAGGAAGAACAATCTTCACATCAATGTGAAGAAGATGGTCGTGGACTTCAGACTGAACAAACACCCCCCCCCCCCCCCCCCGAATATAGGAAGATCTGCGGTGGAAGTGGTCTCCAAGTACTTGGGTGTGCACCTGAATGACAACCTCAGCTGGGACAACAACACCACCAGCCTGATCAAGAAAGCTCATCAGAGACTCTACTTCCTCAGGTGGCTGAGACAAGCTGGTCTGGGAAGCTCAGTCCTCACCTCCTTCTACAGGTGTGCAATGGAGAACATCCTGTGCTCCAGCATCAACGTGTGGCTAGAAAAGCTTTGCAGAGAGTAGTGAAGGCTGCACAGAAGACTGTTGGAGTCAGTCTCCCCACCATCACAGACATTTACACCTCTAGATGCAGGAAGAGGGCCACCTGCATCATGAAGGACCCCACTCACCCATCACACACAGTTTTTGCTCCGTTCCCCTAAGGAAGGAGGTTGAGGAGCATTAAGTGTAGAACCACTAGACTCAGGAACAGCATCTACCCTGAAGCTGTTAGACTCACGAATCCCTAATCAGGAGTCAGAGTCAGTGATTCTTTATTGTCGTTCGCAGATGTCAAAATTATGTACACAGGGTCCCAGTGACATCATGACAATAAAATGTAAAAGAAAAATAATGATAACATCTAAGATATGAACTAAGAAAAACATCAACTAAAAATACACTAAGCACTAATAGCATAAAAACATTACGTCGAACAGCAGCACGAACATGAACATGAGTCTATGTGAGCAGATTAGCACGCATGAACACATCAACATGAAACAGACCAGCAGCAACATGATGTGATTTTTCACAATGATTATTCTGGTTAGATATTCATGAGTCTAACAGCTTCAGGGTAGAAGTTGTTCCTCAGTCTAGTGATTTTACATTTAATGCTCCTCAACCTCCTGCCTGAGGGGAGTGGGGCAAAAAGTGTGTGTGCTGGGTGAGTGGGGTCCTTCATGATGCAGGTGGCCCTCTTCCTGCATCTGGAGGTGTAAATGTCTGTGATGGTGGGGAGACTGACTCCAACAGTCAGGATTATCAGTGTGAAAAAAATCACTGTAATGCCCCTTGATTGTTGATATGTGCTGCTGACTATCCATGCTGATGATCTCATGCTGCTGATTTACAAAGTATTTCATGCTTGTGTGTTCATTCGTCCTCATCTGCTCACACAGACTCATGTTCATGCTGCTGTTGTTCGGTGTATTGTTTTTGTACTATTAGCATATTCTTAGTTCGGCGTATTTCTCAGTTCATACCTTAGATCTTACTCCTGTTTTATTCTTTATAATTTATACATTTGTTGCATGTAACTGGGACCCTATGTACACAATTTCATTCCACCACATGTGCCACGTGGTGCGAATGACAATAAAGAAACTTTGACCTTTAAAATGTTTCTAGAAAAAAAATTGTTTGATGGTTAAATATATATAAATTTAAAAAAAATATGTTTTTCAGTATGTGCACAGTAAATTACTACCACCAGGTTGCACGCCTGACTTTTCGTTTATAAACACTTGCAAAAATATGTTGGACATAAACGGAAAAGACACTCAGACAACAAGCAAACTCTATTAAAGTCCTTAGTAAAGTGTACATTTACCAAAATGTTATATAAAACGAAAAGAAAAGAAGAAAAAAAGGGATTTAAAAAAAAATCCTTGAGCGCGTTCATGTGTCATGTGACCTACGTAGTGACGTAGACGGAAGTAGTAGCAACGCTAAAAGCAACGTTAGCGGTGTAAGTACAGTACAATGAAGACAGAAAATATACTGTTTTCTCAAAAATACTTTCATAAAATATGGTCAGTGACACCTTTTATGTTATAAAAATGTATCTAGGAAGACCTGTTGAATAGGTGAAAGTGGTTGAACTGAAACGACTGCTTTAGGCTTAATTTAAACTAATGTTTTTTAAGAAGTTGGTGTTTATGAATTAAACAAAGCAGGATAAAATGAAAAGCTAACACGTGACTACCGGTGATAACTACATATATTTATTCCTATGAATGTGATGCAAGTGAACACCTATTTTAAATTCTGTGGAAATTACTGTCACAGTCTTTTATTTTTATTTTGTTGTAGGAAAAAAATAAAGTCTTCAATAAGAACAACAGATGTAAGTCTTATCCACAGACTTTCTTAGATCTGTCTAAGATACTGTCTGTTGAACCGGCTCGTTTATTTACTGACAACTTTTATTTGAACCTACTCAAGTGTTGCTGAACGCAGGAGAAATGTCCATTTTTCCACGAATTTCAATGAAGCCTGAAGTGACTGAATATCTTCGAAGTGTCTTCTTAAACAAGGAGGTTAGTATTCTGTTGCTCTTCTAGAAAATTGAATATCAGTAGTGGAAAATGTACTTAAACACAACTTTGCTTAATATTACTAATAATTCCAGACATACATGATTGTTTAATAACTTTTTTTTTTTTAAACTGCTGCCAGTTTCGTCACAGTTTCATGTCATAAACATGCACATTTTTCATCACCTGTCTCCTGAATATTTCAGGCGGTGGCTGCTGTGGGTCATCAGGAGGCGGAGCTACACTTCCAGAGGCTGCTTCTGTGTTTGTCCCACCCGCCTTCACACACGTGTGTGCGAGCCAGCACACACCTGGCTCCCCTGGAAGAGATCCGACACGAGCTGCGAGAGGAGCTGAAGAAGGTGAGCAGAGCGAGCGGGTTTGTGTCGATGCCTCGCTGCTGTGGGAAGCGTTCACCGGAGTTGTTGTTTTCAAAGCAGCAGGCGCGCAGCTCGTCAGCAGAAGAAATTCAAATTGTTCCACATCCCCGTGTTGAAGATGTTCTGCTACTTCCTGTTGATGGTCCCAGGTATGAGAGGAGTGTTTTTCGAACGACGTCAGCGTTTCATGTGCAGAAACACAACCAGTTTGTTCGCAAAAGGACAGGTTTAACTACGTGTCCCTCTGTAATCTCAGACCCGTGACGCAGCTCAGCTCAGAGGTGGTGGTGGGCGCTCAGTGTGGCAGTGCCGTACTGAGGGGGGCTCACGTCTTCCATCCAGGGATCACTGCCAGCCCCAAGTGTGAGACACGTGCAATTTCTCATATCGTCTCGCGTCACTGTAAAGGTTTTGTCTGTGTTCTGTAAATTCTCTTCTTGTCTTCAGACATGAAGATTGGAGACGCTGTGTCCGTCTTCTCCGATTTGGAGGGAAGATGCACTCGAGGAGCTTTTAGTTTCCAGGGAAACAAGGTGTTTGTGGGAAATGGAGTTGCTGAAATGGATCGTTCGCGCATCTTCGCCACAGACGAACCTCCCAGGTAGACTCGAGTAAACGTTTGACCAAAAGCTTCAGAATTTCCATGAAGCTTGGTGTGTTTGTGTAAGATTATTGCTGCTATAGACACAAAACTCTGGAAACGCCCGAAACACCTCAATTCTAGTCCAGACTTTTCTTTTTTGGAAACTAAAACGTTGTTTTCACTGAATTTGGAAAAGTTCAAACTCAAAAACAAGCGGCGAACATCTCAGGAGAGGAAAATGGAGAAATGGAAGCTTATACAGAGAATATAATATTATTAGGCACAGGAGGTATTTCTTAGTAATATACAGTATGAGGAAAATAATGCTTATTCTTCTTCTGCCATTTTATTTTTTACTATTTATAGATCAACTAGTTATTGTGAGGCGATAAAATGTTAGGTGATAAATCAATGTAGCATTCGTAATTCAACCACTTTAGGACAAATCAGTGTACTAATTCGAATTTAAGATGTTTTTTTCTTTATATTAGAAATATAAAGTATGCAAAAGAATGGCTAAATTTAGTCTTTTTCATCACTGGTCCCATGATCATGAAACTAGCAGCAGAGAGGCACTCTGCACTCCCTCCTGTAACTTTATTAACAGAAATGTTGAGAACTGTGGCTGCACAACAACATGTGCAGGATCACACTGTTTTGTGTGTGGTTACAGAGGTGTTGGCGTTCGGATGGTGGAGCCACTTTACCAGAGTCCCTCCTTCGACGGAGTCCTGCCGAGCCTGGTGTTCTTACAGGTGTCAGGATCTGTTAACTGTTTAATTGATAGGTTTGGTCTGGACTTCAGCACAGCCTCTTGACTCTTTTGTAAAATGGTAAATTGGGTAATTACCTGAAATTATTCCGCACATCTAAGCTGTTATGAATCCATGTTTTGCAGAACCTCCCCTCTGTGGTTGCGGGACACGTGCTCGGGCCTCGACCTGGAGAACGGATCTTGGATATGTGTGCTGCACCGGGAGGAAAGACCTGCCACATAGCTGCTCTTATGGAGGATCAGGTACTAGTTTTACTTTACTTCAGAAGGACCCATGTCCAAAATAAGTTTGAGAAAAGTGCTTATCCCTTTTTACAGGACTCCATTTGGTCGCTGGTTTACCTCATAAAAACACGAGATCCAAGCATTTTATGTCTAATAAAATCTGTTGTTCTCCTAGATGCAGGCTTTAGTTTATTACAGTAATGATCATAGCAGAGAAAACAAAACTTCTTAGTAGTCATTTTTAATATGAATACTTTTACGCAAGTACCGGATTATTTTTCAATTTCAAATACATTGTCTTACCTCAATAACGTTGTCCTGCCGTGTTCCACACAGGGAGAAGTTGTGGCCTTGGATCGAATCCGAAACAAGATCGAACGAATTCGTCAGAACGCACAAATGCTGCATTTGAAAAGCGTCAAAGCTTATTGTTTCAACAGCGTTCAGGCTGTGAGCGATGACCCGTCACAGGAAACCGAAGGTACCAAGCAGCATCTTTAAGCATTCTTTCAGTAACGGGACGATCTTGTTAACCATCCGCTGTGTTTCTGTAAATACTCCAGGACCTCCTTTCCCTCCAGAGAGTTTTGACCGAGTTCTCCTCGATGCCCCCTGCAGCGGCCTCGGACGGAGGCCCAACATGTCCTGCACCTGGAGCCTCAAGGAGATTTGTTCTTACCCGCCGCTGCAGCGCAAGTTGTTTCATGCTGTAGGTTTTTATTCGACGTTGATAAAACACTTCTTCATCTTTTGTTTTACTGCCATTGCTTTGACATACTGGCAGTGTGTCATTTCTGCCTGTAGGTGGCAGCATCGGACAGGTAGAAGCTTATAAAATCATTTTCATAGGTGAACTTCAGTATATACCTGCTGATCCGATTTCACTGTTTATCCGCCTTATTCCTAGCCCCCTTTCTGCCTTGCATGAAATATGGGCGCAACTTCCGGTGCGGACCAGAACCGGCATTTGTACATGTGCGAACAGTACAAGCTAATCCAAGCATTGTGGATTTAATTTAAACATGTGGGAACACCACCTGTCAGAGCTCAAACAGGACAGTATAATCATGCTTCTGCCTGCTGAGGATGAGGGATGGAGGACGACCTGAAGAAGTGGCTGCAGATTACATCTACTAGCATATTTAGCTACTTCACTGTAATGCCCTCCATACACTTGAATTCATACCTGATATTCTCGTCACACAGTTTTCAATCCTTCTGAGGATCCGGCGTCTCTTCTCCGGTTGTTTATTGTCACCCAGCCACACAGTAGGATGCAGGTCTGTCGGCCGACCTTATTATTGTCTAAATTCTGATGCACCTCAGCGCTTTTCAGGTTGTTCATCGCTTCACCGTCAGAAGAACCGAGTCAGTGAAGTAGCTAAATATGCTAATGTATGCATGTCTGTTTCCTCTGTCGGCTGTTTGCCAACAAAGTGAAATGAACACGCATGCAGCGTTTTGGGTGGGCTCTTCAAGTTCAGATTTTTCAGCCACATTCTTCTGAATTCCTCATCCGTAGGTAGGAGATGGAAAACCTACCGCTTTTCACAGGAACACTCTTTTTGTTTTGAATCGAAGCCACTTATTTAGTTGGGTCTGGTTGTTTGTGTGGCCGCGAACGACACAACAGGTACCTGAACTCAGCGCGGCCATTTTAGTAAACTTTACATTTGTTAAATAAATGAAAACAAAAACAGTGTTTTATCTGCTAAACTGATTTCAATTGATTTTCAAATAAACTGTGGTCCGTGCGTCGCTATCATGGTTGGGCAATGCTTCCTGCTACTACTTCCTCTGTCTGACAGGAAGTTGTACCAAAATAATTCATACAGTAGAGCCCACAGGAATAAGGTGGATAGGAAAACAATAAATCAAATATGGTAGTTTTGACTTTTCACTTAGAAGAGGTGATAATATAAGAAGATTTTAAGTCAAACTTAGGTGGGGATTATAGGTGGTGGTAAAGATGTGAATATTGGATAATTTGGAAGTTGAAAGTTTAATTTCAATGAAACAATATTATAAATGTAATGTTTTGATCATGCTGAGCAATATAGACCAGAATGTTTAAATGTGTCCTGTTCTAGTTTTATGATTCCATCAATTTATTTTTACCCTTTTCATACGCTGATCTAAATGGGGTGAATACTGCCACCTGGTGGGCTGAAAACAAACATGTTTGTAATTTATCAAGGTGTTTTACCTTCACTGTCCACAAGAGGCGCACATGAGCTCTTGTTTTTTCTTAAATGCAGTACAATTCATTCAAAAAACTAAAAAGGTTAAATCATGTCAGTCTGCGGCCTGCCAACCAGATCTTTAAGACTGTGTTGCTGTATTTGCATATTGCCCAGGACGTTCTTGTAAAAGAGATTAATAATCTCAATGGATTTCTTCCTGCTAAAATAAAGGTTTGATAATTTATAATAAAAATGTGTCCAGATGACATGATTTAAACTTTAGTTTATCTACCTGGATGCTTACAAACCTTTTTATTCATCATTCAGTCATAATGAACATAAACATGCAGGCTGGGAAAGCAGGACTATTTAAAGTTTTACTAATGCCAACTGAATCGTCTCCAAAAACTACTTTTATGCTAATCATTTTAAAACTTTTATAGCTGTTTTTATTTATTTTTTTAAAAAAGGTGCATGTTTTTGTGTTACTGCAGGCGGTTCAGCTGTTAAAGAAAGGTGGTGTTTTGGTGTACAGCACCTGCACAGTGACTCTAGCAGAGAATGAGGAGCAGGTAGCCTGGGCCCTCAAGACCTTCCCTGACCTCACTTTGCAGCCACAGGTAAAAGAGAGAGAGAGTAAGACGCTTCAAATTACAAAGGCACGTCTCAGAATATTGTCTCCGTCTTCCTCAGGAGCCTCACATCGGCGCAGAGGGCATGCTGGGAGCCGGCCTGTCAGCTGAGCAGCTGCGCCTCCTCCAGAGGTTCAGACCGGAGCTGAGCTGGGAGCAGACAGACGCCACAGCCCCCGTCGCCTGCAGAGCAGACGGGGACACCATCGGCTTTTTTATTGCCAAGTTCCTGAAAAACTGACTGGAGGGCCCGTTTCCTCGATGCTGTCCCCCACTTGAGACTACGAGACGTGAAATGTAGTGTTTACGTTACGACACCGTGCGCTTTGACGGGCCGGCGTTGACAAAAATCTCACTCCTGTTTACAGCGTCTGCCTTTTAACAGCTGCTCTCTGAAACTGCAGGCCATGTAGGGATAAGCTTTATAAAGACCGCGGGGCAGGAGAGGGCTTGGGGGGGGTGAATGAGTGCTGGTGAATGCAGCAGTTCTGTGGTCGTCATAACAACAGTGACGACACAGCTGCCATGGTGACGGTGGATTCGCAGGATCTGGGAGTGGAGATCAGGAAGTAGTGTGCAGAAAGAGGTCATAAGAGGTATTAACAATTTAGAGTGTTCAGCGGTGCTGGAAACAACCGGGACGGCTAATTGGCACGTTTGATTCTAGTGTTAAAAATATCGCCAGAGGGGAAACTGCATGCTTTTCATTTGAGAAAAGAGCTTTTTGTTAAATCTGTCTGGGAACACATAAAATCCAAAGTTTTTTTAGAACCAAAACAATTTATTTATTACAGCTTTTGAAATGACTCGTGTTGATGTTCTGCTGTACATTAGGTCTTTGTCATTAAATAAAGCTCATCCTATAAAAATGTTTATATTTTTTAAGAAGTGACCATTTTTAATGTTTTGTTGTGTATGTATTTTTTTTTTAAAGATTTAAAAATAAAAGTGTGCAGCAGGGTATTTTGCCAGCACTTTTCAAAATCTTGATTTTGGAGCCCAAATAAGTGAAAGTAGTCGTCGCATATTCAGAAGATTCTTACAAGTGCGCCATAAGTGGATTTAAAGATTTCACTGAGCTACGAACCCAACAAAGTTCAGTCAGGTCGTCTAGACAGTTTTTGTATTATTATTATTATTATTTATTTTTTTAGACGTTTTGTCCTTCATCCAAAGGGCTTCATCAATTTGAGTTGACTCCTCCGAGGCAGCCATAGCCAAAGTGGTTCAAGACATGAGTTCATGCTCAATAATCCAGGTAGAAAATCTAATAAAGTTCAGTCAGGTCGTCTGGATGGTTTTTCTTTGTTTTATGTTGAGACGTTTCATTCTTCACCCAAAGGACTTCATCGTCCAAGGAGCCACAAACAAACTCGGTCTCACAAGCAGCACTTTCCCATAGTGGACCAACCAGTTGGTGATGAGATGGTTTCTGGGGTTCGCCCTCTCCCCCGTCGACTCCTCTGAAGCAGCCATAGCTAAAGATGAAACGTCAACAACAAAACAAAAACCATCCAGATGACCTGATAAACTTAGTTGGATTTTTCTACCTGGCTTATTGAGCATGACCTTGGATGTCTTGAACCACTTTGGCTATGGCTGCCCCAGAGGAGTCAACAGGGGAAAGGGTGGGCCCTAGAAACCATCTTACCACCAGCAAACTGGTTGGTCCACTATGGGAGTGTGCTGCTTGTGAGACTCAGTCTGTTTGTGGCTCTTCAGACTGATTAAGTCCTTTGGATGAAGGACGAAACATCAAAAAAAACAAAACAACACAACATCCAGATGACCTGACTGAACCTTGTTGGATTTTTTAAACCTGGATTATTGAGCATGGACTTTGATGTTCTGAACATTAATGCGTGTTTGTGGTGCACAACGTTGCAGCACTTTTAAATAACACATTGACTTCAGCTTTGGTTTTCTGAGCATCTCATCAAATTATGAGCCATAAGACACATGCATCCATATCACACCTCTCCTCTTTGTGTATTTTCTTACAAGAGCCTGTTATCAGCTGGAACATCTGCACAGCTGACTGCTGTCAATTCTGACAACAAAAACTTCAATTCATCTCTGGAAGGACCTCTCTGTCAGTTTTGGCAGCAGCTGTGTGCGAAGAAACAACTTTCTATTTTAGACGCATCCCCTCCAGTACTGTCATTGATGTCGAAGTTGTCATGGCGACTCAGCAGGCAAGTCGGTGAGTCTACCTCAGTTTTTCAGCAGTTTCTCATGGCTATTTATAGACTTCGCAAACCTCCTGTGTCTGAGACTTCTGACAATTGAACATCAAAATCTACCGCGCTGGTTCTTTGTCACTGACTTTATTTTATATTTGGGCATTATGTACACCTATAAAACCTGTAGGGCTACAAACGTATAGAAATACTTTTATTTATAATTACACTTGTGAGGTAAAAACAAGAACGGGGCGGGGCGGTGTGTAAAAGGAGTGCATGGAGTCAGGCTAAAAAAATAAATAGGTTTTAGCATCAGTTCATGAAATTACTCATCGCTTCATCCAACGGAGCAGATGGAAGCTCTTAAATCCTAAACTGCGTGGATTTGTTTTTAAATAATGTCGCGTGTCAGAACGGAGAACAGATGGAGGATTAAAATAAGCTGGTACACATTTAAAATACTTTGAGCTTCTTTGATAAATTAATATTTTAATTGTAAGTGAACTGACCAAAATTTCCCGTAGTTAACATTCGTTGTACTTTAAGAAATGGGAGTCGAACATTCATCAGAAAATGAGTCGGACTTGATAAAAAGATGAACCAGAATGAAGTTTTCTGAGAGCTGGGTGTCCTCTCAAACCGTTTCCACTTGAAACGAGCGTGAAACAACAAAAGTGCAGGAGAAAAGAGTCTACCAGTGTTAGAAAATGGTTCTGGACCCATTCAAAGAACAGTAATGCTGGACAAGACATTACTGTTGAGCTTGTTTGTCTTGTAAAGGTTTAAAACTGTGGATATAGAATAATAATAATAAAATAAAAAAACATTAAAAGTTGCACATAAAATTAAAAATGTAGTTTGACATTTTGGGAAAAATACTTTTCTGCTGGGAGAATAGGATTGTTTTTTAAAAATGTCCTAGATATGAAACAGGTTCTGCAGCATTTGGAGTTTTGTTTTCACCCTGTCACAGTGACATGAGATGTTTTCCTGTTATACACAAAACCATCGGCATCAGAAGCTTTTGTAATGTGGGGTTGGGGTCCTCCCCCATAAAATTTTGAATAAAGTAGATGCCATTTTCTGTGTTCTGGTGCATTTTAACAGGCTGTTTAACATCTAGTTTTACCTACCGTATTTTCCTGATTATAAGACACACTTAAAATCCTTTAATTTTCTCAAAAATCGACAGTGAGCCTTATAATCCGGTGCACCTTACGTATGAAATCTGGATGTGCTTACTGACCTTGAACTGATTTTATGTGGTTATTGTGAATGAGTTGAACAAACGTTGACTTACCTGCTTTGTTTCGCTTAATGCGCCTTATAATCCGGTGCGCCTTATGTATGAAAACAGACCCGTTCATTGATATTGCGCCTTATAGTCCAAAAAATGTGGTGCATAAGTAAACGTGCTTCAATAACTATTGTAGAGTTAATGGCACAACAAGAAGTAGCCTGACCAACAGCTCCCCTTGTGTGAATAGAGCACGCTCCACTTCACACAATTAATGTAGCACTAAGCTAGCGCGGAGCACAGAGGTGTCTCCCCCTCCTCCCCGGCCCTGTCAACAAAAAAACTATGAAGAGATGAGCATCCTGCCAAGCCAAGTAACCGCAGGGAAACACTGCATGAGGTGTGGTCAGTTGTTGTAGGTAACCAGAAAAACCCGGAGTGGACTTTTAGTGGTTTGAGTATTCTCCTTTGATCAAGTGGAATGGATTCATTCACGAAGAAACAGTGCTGGGTGAACTAATTTTTCATAGTAAATGTGGGGGGGGTCCAAACATATATTTTTTAAACGTGAGGGGGACACGTTCCCTTCACATATAAATGACATGACGCCGATGCATAAAACAGTGGTTTGATCCACTTACTACATCTGTTTATAAAATAAAAGAGTCGAAATTGCACCAAATCATTAACGTTCTCGACTCAACTAAACTTTTTTTAAAAGCTGCAAATATTGATCCTTCAAAACATTTGAGCTGTTTTGTAGCAAACAGGTCAGAGAGAACAACGAAAACGCTGCATTAATGTAAAAAACGTGTCAAAATGGTCAAAAAGTTGAACGGCACGCTCTGTGAAAACACCATCAACCTTCATGACAGGATTTTTTTGCCATTGTTGCATTAGATTGCAATAAGGTGAACTTTATAAATCCAAAAATTGGGTTTAAAGCAAAGACAGCAAATTTCCCAAATTGCCAAACTAATCTGAAATTACAGCATCAAACTATGTTGGCCAGTAAACCCGCGCAGTAGTCTGACGTAACAAATTATTCAAGTGATGGCAAGCAATAAAACTTATTTAAAAAAAAAAAAAAATAATAATAATAATTTGAATGCTAATCACAGAAAGCACAGCTCAGTACAGAAAAAAATTCTGCTTTGTGTCATGCTTTATCAAACAAAGACTTAAAATATGCATATATGAGAATATTCATGCATATCCACACATGTCTATGCATAGATACACACACATATGTATTTATACTCTTACATTTTTATCTATTTAATCAAAACCTTGTAAAAGATGGAGAATTTACAACGTGGTGGCCATAAACAGGATGCTTCAGGGTCTAGCAGCATGATGGGAGAACAGAACGCTCTGTGAGGGGAGTCCATGGGGGCGTCAGCAGGACTTTCACTGATGGATGTATGGGTCTCTGGTCCACTCACCTGCCTCACCCCTCTTTTTAGGAGCCGCCTCCCCCTCCCGGTCCCTTTCTCTGTCTCGTTCATGATGGTGGTGGTGGTGTTCTCGTGGCGGTCGGTGGTGGGAGCGCTGCTTGTTCCGTTCGTTATGGTCCTGCTCGCGCTCCTTGCAGTGGTGGTGTCCCGTGCCGTGGCCAGCCTCCTCCGCACCCCCGCTGCGGTGATGGTGGTGGTGGTGATGGTGGTTGTGGTCCCGGTGGGGCAGTGGCTCGTACCGCTGTTGCTGCTGGGGGTGCTCCTCCTCTAGATCCTCATCGTCCTCCTCTTCCTCGTCCTGGTGGCGGAGCGGGGCGCGCAGCTCGTTTTGCGCTGAATCCTTGCTCTCTCTGCTCTCGGGGGTCTCAGAGTCCAAAGTCTCCTGCCGAGCGAGGCCCCGGGCCCTGCTGCTGTTGTGGTGGTGATGGTGGTTGTGGTGCTCAGTCCTGGTAGAAGAAGACCTGTGGTGTGCGTGCTGGGCTTTCTTAGAGGATTCTGTCCTTAGGGGCCTCTCCTCCTCATTACCGTCGCCCTCAGCTTCTGCTGCCGACTGGTCCAGGCTCTTCTGGCGGTGGTGATGGTGGTGATGATGCTGGTTATCTTCTTTGGAGCCCTTCCTCTCCACTAACGCTTTATCTCCTTTCTGTTCTGTGCCGTTACCCTGAAAATAGACATGGATTAGTCAGGAGGACGACACAAACCACGACACTACAAATCCTCACTGCAAACTCACACAAAAGTACTCACCTCACCCTCCAGCACAGATTTAACTACATTCGCACACGGTGACAAAATTAACTGTCACACAAGAGCACACTTCAGATCCAGTCTAGGAGGAGTGTCCACCTGTATCACACAGCATCCCCACACTTACAAGTTTAATCCTGCTCCTCATCAATATCAGCCTTTTCCTCGTTTTCAGTCTTACATTTCCCATTATGATGGCAGTGAGTGGAGAAAGAGTGCAGGTAAAGACTTTACAAACTATCCTGATGATCAAACACAGAACTGGTTATACAATCTCATGTTACAAATACAAAGACCAGGGATTTCCAAAAAGCTGGTTGGTGTGATGTTAGGATTTAATTCCAGCTGACTGCATTACATGCACAAATGGGATTCTGATACTTATTGGAGGGTTTATCGTGGTGGTGAAGATGATATGCTACTGTGCAAAAGTCTTGAGCCATTTCTTTATTTGCTTCCAAACTGTCATATTTGTATTTTTTATTGTTCTTGATCAATAGTTTTTCATGCTTTCAGAAGTTTAAAAATATATATGTGCTTGCTCAGGATGGGAGACTGCAGCGAAGCCAAGATTCAACTTGTGTGCTGGATTCCTTAGATAGAGAACTTTACTAATTGGCTTTTATGTATATGAATGCTTCTGTAAAGTGCCCTGAGACAACTTTGTTGTGATTTGGCGCTATATAAATAAACTGAATTGAATTGAATATATATTTGACCATTGTCTACTTTTCCTCTTACCGTCAGTTCAAAAATTGACTATTTTCGGAGTTTGTTATACTATTTTTCAGGTTTTAATGAATTTTCTCTCTTTCTTTAAGCCGTGGTTCCCAACCTGGTCCTTGAGGAACACCATCCTGCATGTTTTAGTTGTTTTCTTGCTCCAACACACCTGATGCAGTGTTTAATTACTTCCTCGTGTTCTGCAGAAACCTGTTAATCACCCATTCATTAAAATCAGAGGTGTCAAAGTAGGGAAACAACTAAAACATGCAGGATGGCGTTCCTCAAGGACCACAGTTGGGAACCATTGTAAAGACATGACTTTTAGTACTAAAGACTATTGTTTATCAACTGGAAAAAAAATTATTTTATTTTCTTTTATATTCTTTTCTCCTCTACTTGTCCATTTGTTCACATTTTGAAAGCACACATTGCACCCGACTATGATAACACTCTTCTGTTGTCACAGTCAGGTACAAAGATTGGAATGAACACAAGTGAACAGAAAGACCTTCAGAAAGTCCAGAGACCTACTGGTCAAGATCATTTTAAAGATTATAAGAAAGTCTGGTTGTGAAAGATAATTGTGACAATGTTGGGGGTAATTCAAAACTTTTGCATAGTATTGTAAAATTATTGCACATAAGAGAAAAACTAGTTTTTCCACACTGACCTCACAGTATATTGACTGATTTCTATACCTTCTCTATAAACAGTAGGTTTATTCTGAGTGCATTATTTATTTTACAACTTTCTGAGTGTAGCTCTCTAAACAGAGTCCTGTATTTCTTTATATTCTACATTCTTGTCACACTGCGTCTGCTCAGCGTCTGTACCTGCACACCGGAGGCTGGCGTCGGGGCGGAGGGCAGGGAGGCCGTGGTTAGCTCGGTTAGCTCTGGGTCAGAGGAGCTGCAGCTTGGGGGGTGTGTGCTCCTCCAGTAGGCCTCCAGGTAATCAGCCATGTGCTCACATGCATCCTCCAGCTGGTTCTCATCTAGGATGATATCAAACATCTCCTGGGAAAAGCGAGACAGTCCCAGTTGAAGGAAATTAAACAGACGCATGACAAGGTCAAGACGAAAAACAGGCTGTAGGGAATTTGACAATATGGGAGTTCTTGGTCTCATTTGGGAAATCTCTAGACCTACAAAAGCATATTTAGCTGTAAAGAACTCATACGGATATTACTGAAGACAAAATGTCAGAACAATGTTAAACAAACATCCCACTGAATTAAATACCACAACCTTAAAGATGAACTCTCAGGAAATGTGAAAACAGTCATTCCCTGAAGGTATCCGCTGCTATGGATTTAATTAGGCCTGTACTTTCACAAGCTGGGGGTGCCTACTTCATTCTCTAAAATAATAACTATGCAGATTGTTGAGGATTGTAAATAGAACTGGTAACAATTATAAAGCTTTAAGCAAAAGCAAGAAAAAAAAACTTTAGCTAGGCAAGAAAACAGCCAAAAAGCACATAACTGAAGATGATATGAAACACAGGTCCAATCAGCAGTAATTTGGCTCTGTGGACTCACAGTGGGACACTGAGTCAGCTTGTCTGCAGCTACCATCTGGACGTTGAGGTGTTTGGACTGGGATTTGCCTCTGGACTTGATGAGCCGCTGGAGCACCTACAGGCAAACGAGGATGAAGGACACCATGATTGTTTCTGAACAAATTAAATCAAAACTCAAGTGTGGACACATTTTTAGCTCATGGTCCCGCACAGAAACATGTTTTGTCTTATTATAGTGATTTTTGATAAGTTCCACCACAGAAACAGCTAACTGTGTTCGTACACAAGGCAATGATTAAAATAATGCCACTAAAATGTTTTGTTAAAGCTGTGGCACTCTCCTATCATCTTGGTTTTTTGCCTTCATGTTTTTTATTAAATCCAAATTATTTAACGTAACCAAAGCTCTTTAGTCGCGTGTTTAATCAATGAGTGCCACTATGTTCAGACAGAAACAGTAAGCAGCAGGGGCGATTCTAGAATCTGCCCGTTAGGGGCTGCTTAGCCCCCAGTGCCAACAGTGGCTCTTGGCTTGAACAACACAGTGTCCATTGGCGTCAGAAGCATTCATAATGCGGGGGGACACACTGGTGAGAATTTTGAATAAAGTACATCCCATTTCCTGCATTCTGGTGTATTTTAACAGGTTGTTAAACATGTACTTTTACCTATATAAGTAAGCACTTGATTCATTATCTATTTTAGAGCACACGGCCAAACAAGAAGCTAATATTAAGCTAATATCACCACCTATGAAATAATTCTTTCATCCTAATTGCACCGTTATATTTTACCATGTTGTTTACTATATTTATTTTGCACCTTGCAAATATTATATTTCTTTTTCACTTTTTGGTACAGTAGTCCCTCATTTATCGTGGTGGATCCATACTCTGAAGACCCGCGATAAGTGAAAAACCACCAAGTAGGGATAGTAGTACAAGTAGTAGTTTATTTTAGTATA